AGCATGAAATTGTTGTCCATGTTGACATTTTGCCTTAAAATATGTTATAAAGTGCCTTATACAGGTGTTGCATAGTTTGCTGATTTGTCTGTTCAATAATGCTAGGATTTTTAAATGTTCTGCCTGTAAACTAGTGAAATGAATGAGATTTTGTCTGATAAATGCATTTTGCAATTATGTGGTATATCCACAGTACGAAAAAAAACTATGAACAGAAACAAACTAAAAACTCTATGTAGTAAACAATAGCTATGTCACCTGAATCATTGATCCCCCCTTTTAACAAATAAATTCCCACACAGATGTATGCATGTTATTTCTATAAAACTAGTTTAGTATCCTTGCACACCAACAAATCAAGCTTCAACCTTTCTACACCCCCATATTCCCTGATATAACTGTAAACCTTAGTAATCTGTTCTGTAGCTCTACTATTTTGCAATGCCCAGCTAGACCTCTATGTGCTATATGTGCCATTGTATACAAGTCTGCTATTGCAAAGCAAGGATAAGCAATATCTGCTTAGCAAGAGAAAAAAAGAAAAAAATGATTTTTTGTATATAGTTAATGTTAAATTTATGTTTGAGTTGAAGACTATCTCTGTCCCACCATAATTAATAACAAAGACACATCGATCATTTAATACATATGCATATAAATTATATTCTTGTAGTTTATCATTTCATTTATTTTGATATTTGTTTCAATCATTTTCTTCTCTGGTCTAAAAAGGAATCCTTAGGGCTTGTAAAGATTTGACACAAAAACAGAAAATTCATCAGCACAATAAATTTATTCCCTCAGCTATCATTTGACATTATTGTCTACTTTTCACTAGAATGAAAAATTGAAACCCAAGAATATGGATTAGTGCATGGTTTCAGTCTAAATCTTTGAGTAATGCACATATAAATTTGCCTGTTGTAGAGTTCATGTATCAAGAGGCTTTCCTGACGACCTACAGAACCTTCATCTCACCTCACGATCTCATTGACAAACTGCTGTACCGCTTCCACAAATTCCACCACGCCAGTGAGAAAAAGAAGAAAGTGGCAAGGAACACCTTCTCACTTCTAATCAGGGTCATTGATGAACTAAGGTTTGTAATCAAAGGGACTTCTATATGATAAGTTTTCACTGTATTTGGAGGAATCATGGGAAAACATGAAATATCAACCAAGTTTCAATGCATGGAAGTTGATGGAAGAAAGAAATATCAATATTTCTTCTCTTTTGTTTCAGCCAAAAAGAGATGAACCAGGCCACCACAGAGAAGATGATGAGTTTGGTGTTTGAGCTCCTTTGTCAGGGGGATCTGATACTGGCCAAAGTACTGAGGAAGAAGGTGATCGAGAAGTGTGAGAGCAAGAAGACGGCCCCCGATCCGTTCTCCTCCATGACTTTTACTTCCTCTATCACACTCAAGTCCAGGTTTGTTTACAGCATTACAATATTAAATACAGTAAATATCTATTTATGTTGAGTTCAGGCTTGCAAAAAAATGTAAAGTGATTTTCATTCACTGTAGCTTCAAAATGAATTCCCAAGATATAACGAATGACATTTTTAACAGAATTATTCGTCTCTTCCTAGGATGTTTGATTTCATTGGCTTGATTTTTTCTATGCCATTTTTCTTTTCAGTCCATCAGATTTTCTGTTTTACAAGTCACATGACATAGCAGAACAAATGACCCTCTTAGATGCAGAGCTCTTCCAAAAAATAGAGGTATTATAAATGCATGTTCAAATGATTGATCATGAAAAACAGATAAATAGTAATATATTTTCAACTGGCAAATTATATTTTGAAAAAGCTCACATATTCAAAATTATGCAATTGAAGTTTCTTAAAAAATTATTTCCCTTCTTGTCTGGACTAACATAATAGATGTTTTGTCAGATTCATGAAGTCTCACTTTGGGCCAGAGAACAGTCTGAAGAGCTGAGTCCTAATCTTACAGAGTTCACAGAACACTTCAACAAAATGTCTTATTGGTATGGACTTTTATCATCAGTATACATGTACTTAATAAGAGATTCTAGTGTTTATGAAACTTCATTTGAAGAAAGTCAGTACTAAAAACAGGGGCAGTATATATGATTCTCTTATTTGTATCTTAGGTGCAATTCTATAAGCAAAGGCAGTATATATTATTATTAATTTGAATCTTAGGTGCCGGACCCAGATTCTGACACACGATGAAGCCAAAGACAGAGAAAAGTATTTCTTCAAGTTCATCAAAATCATGAAGGTAAGATGACAGTCTCTCATTCTTTACAATAGTAGATGTCTTTTATAGAAGTCTGATTATTCTGATTACCTGTGATAGCAATGGATGTTCCCTGAACTTCCCTCTCACAAACTCTTGATCTCTAGTTATATGCATAAGTGTTCTACACTTCAGCATTTAAGGAAGTTAAACAACTTCAACTCTTACCTTGCCATTCTGTCGGCAGTGGACTCCGCTCCAATCAGGCGACTTGAGTGGCCAAGGCAAAACTTAGAGGTTCGTATATTGATCCAGTTCTTGAACATCATACTAGAACAGACAATTTTTTCCTCTTTGACTTAGTGACAGGTGCTGATGTTTTACTCTTTTTTAATTCCAGGCATTAAAAGAATTCTGTCAGTTGATTGACAGTTCAGGGTCCTTCAGAGCTTATCGACAGGCACTGGCTGAAACTGAACCACCCTGTATACCTTACATGTAAGTCTGGACTTTGTGTACAAAATAGCAAGATATTATTTGATTTCAATGAGATTTTATAAGAATATTGATACTACACTGGCCTTAGAATAATTGTGTGTTTACAGTAGATATATACCGGTATATATTTCTCACTTTGTCATAAGTATGTGAACTAGACACATTTATGGATTGTGATTTGTTTCGCCTCTTGCAGTGGTCTTATTCTACAAGACTTGACTTTTATCAACATTGGAAACCAAGACTTGCTGCCCGATGGAAGCATTAACTTTGCCAAAAGATGGCAACAGTTTAACATCCTCGACAATATGAGAAGGTTTAAGAAATGGTAGGTTCAAAGATTTTCAATTTGAAATTCATTGTCAAGCACATGTATTGATTACAATACTGTAGTAATAATACAATGATAATGGTACTATATATTCATTTGACCATTCTAAAGGTGCATTTGTTTGATAATTTAACCAACAAAACAATTTTAAACATCTATTTTAAAATTTGCCAATGAATAATCTAATTAAATTCAGACGTCTTAGATCCAGCCATATACACTTACATTGTGTAAGAGGGTACAGATCCAAAATGTCTGATTTTTTAGATTGAAAATTGTTTAAATACTTTTGAATTCATGTTTATTGATTTCTTCAATTTGTAGCAACTACCAAATAAAGAGGAATGAGAAGCTGATAAACTGTTTCAATGACTTCGACGATTATCTCAGTGAGGAAAGCTTGTGGCAGATATCTGAGAAAATTAAACCACGTGGGGGCAACAAGAAACGGCTAGAATTTGACAGCTAAGTGCAGTGGTGTAGAAAGGTCATGTTTTGGTGGTTCATAGGCAGTGCTGTGATCTGAATTCTGCTGATTTCCCATCACATTTTATAATGTGGTCAGATTCACAATGAATTAAAAAAGTGATATAATGTATTTACCATACAGGGCCATATAACAGAGACAAGACATCATTGAGTATTCACAAGCATTTTCATATTTTGTGCGATGTTATACAATTTGAGGTGTCTCCTAAATGCCATATAGAATTTACTTAAGACACTATACATCCATAATGTTGTTTATTCGTGAGATGTTACGAAGGCTGTACAAGGTGTAATTTATTGTTATTTTGCTATATGTTACTTAGATTGTTATTTTGACCAATCCCAAGCCTCTGGGATTATGTGTTACAGATTATTATGATTGTTATGTGTGATAACTGAATGGGATCGATTGGTTGTATAATTATTTATTCCAAGATTGTTTTCTTTTATGAAGATTTGGTTGATAGCAAAATTCAATGATACTAGTAAATGTTTCTTGATCTTGAATATTAACGGTTAACATTTCAAGTGAACTATGATTTGAAGTGCTATTTATAACTATAAGAAAGAAATTTTCTGACAATTAAATATTTTCTTTTATTTATATACATAAACTGACATTTTTCTTGACAGGGAACCAACAGTTGTATGTGTATTTGGTTATAATTGTGCCAAATTTTGTCTCCATCGTTTAAAAACCCTGATTTTTTTTTATTCATTCAAATTGTTTATGTATACAAGTGCTTTGATAGTTACACCATTTTATAAAGGTTTTGTAATTTATTTCAATTTTTATAGCAAACTTGCTGTGATTCAATCGTTGCAAAAATTTCTGTCCTCTGTATTTCATGCAGTGGATGTCGGGTATTGCAGTGGAAAAGTGTGCTATAGGCAGATGCTTGTAACTGTTACTTTAAAGAATGTAAATAGAACATGTACAAGAAATAGCACAGGAGCATTGTTTTCTAGGAATGTCATAGTCACTCCATGTTTTATAGCTCTACAGAAATGCCAACTTAAAGATTACATTAATCAAGCAGCAGTATTACTGTTATACAGTTTATGATTCATCAGATATTGCTTTTTCTCTACAATCGTAATTTAATGTAAATGTAATAGGATTTTTTTTTTTGTAATATCATAGAAAGGAGAAAAATAAGTTCGGAAATCTATGTTTAACACTTCCGTGTTGTAGTTCACAGGACTTGAGACAATTTATCGTTGTTCACAGTACTGATGTGCTGCTCATCCTATCACTGGATGCAGTTGGAACATACTCTGTGTATAGGATAAGAACTTTTGTAGTCATGACTCGTGTTCAGAATGACTTGTTGTGAATTGTTATAGCTGATTGACCTAGTATTTATATGTAAATAGTCACCCTTTATGCAGTTATTAAGAGTATACTGTAATAAAGAAATAACAATGAATTGATTACTTGTTGCTTTTTATTCATAGTTTCATTTTTAGCTCTACTGGTCAGAGATCAGGAAAGCTTATGTGATACTGTAAACATATTACATTTAGTGGTGTATTCTATTTAGCGATTTTAGCGGAAAGCAGAGTCTGCTAATTCAAGTACAACGCTAAATGTTTTGTACCGGTATATTAACTTTTATAACTAGCAAATTCAGACAGCGCTAAATCAAATCTACGCTAACTTGTTGAAAATTGAATTTCCGCCAAATATCGTACATGCCAAATATAATACATTTACAGTAGTAAGGTGTCCATGTAAGATTTGGTTCTGAAAGTAGGCTTAGAAATGAAAGTTTTAAGTCATAAGTTTGCCTGGCAATTCTATATACTGTACATATAGCAATCGGGGAAACAATTAATGCAATGTTAAGACTCTAATTCATTTCATTAAGGAGCCTGGAGGTCACCCAGATGACCTGCTTTTGTAGGTCACCTTTTGAATTTTTCTAGTAAATGATGAAAATTTCATTTTCCATCAGGAATTCCAATGAACAAAATTGAACTTAACCTGCTTTGCATTTGTAGAACTTGTATCTTGTTGAAAAGGGGTGGAGGGTGATGTTCTGGCCCACAAAATTTTTTTTTTAAGTTTTCTTCTCAAGTGAAACAAAGAGGATGATATAAAGAAAAACATAAATACAGTTCATTTACTGGTATCTCTGATCAAGCTGAAAAGTTGCAGTACATTGTTAAATTTATTGTATATATTTGAAAACATTAATTTGTCCCCCTTTGTAATTGGCTATCCATAATCTCCCACTTCTGTCCAAACTCATGGCACCAATACCCTGGATGTTTGGATGCGTAATGTAAGTTATGAAAATTCCATCCATATCTAGCAGATGAACACATTCATTGTCTGTGTCCATTACTAAAAGTTGGCAATAGCTATTCGAGCATATAAAACTAGGAGAAAAAGGAGAATTTTCCAGGTTGCAGATTTCCTTTATATCTCCATCGCAGAGTTCCATTTTTGTCGGTGACAACCACTTCATTTTTGTTTGGATCTGATGCACAGACATCCAGATTTTTGTTTTCTTCCACCAGGATGTAATATTTCCCAGCCTGGTAGAGAGGTTGATGATGGTCATCGTACTGAATTTCTTGAATTATTTCCGAATCAGAGAAGCGAGCAATTTTGACCTGGGTTTCATCCTTGCTTTCCAGGGAGACCAGAAATTCATCCTCTGCTGTGCAACAAACTCCAATAGGTCTCCAGTCATCAAAAGTGATCAGTTCTTTGAGTTTGCCATTGGTAATTATGTAAGCATGGCTATGCAGTGAATGGCAGACGGCATATACCAAATCTCCTTGTCTGGTAATGGCCAAATTAGTGGGTTTGTATCCCGATACTGTTGTATGTCTTTCAAATTCAACACTAGTATCCTTGAAGCATATTATTGCATTGTTTTCACCATTTAGCCAGACAGTATTGTCATCAATGCACACAAGATTGCAAATTGTATCAACTCTGGTTTCCAAAGACCTACAGATGGTTGATCTACTGCATAATTTGCGGACAGTGTCCTGTTTTGAAGCAAATGATTTTACTTCTTGTGGTATTTGGGATAAAAGTTTGCCAAAAGTTTCATACATTTTATTTGCTTTGATTTTTGTGGAGGTAAATGAGGGCATGGTTGAAAAAAATTTAAAACGATGTGATGTTTCCTTTCTTAATTGATAATTAAGAATATCTTTAAAATTAAAAGAATTGGCAAACTTCTTCACTTCTTTACAGTGAATACTGAGAGCCCTAAGGAGAGCTTTGCTTTCTTCTATTTGTTTCTTTAAGAGCGTAATGTCTCGATCTTCCATACTCTTTATTTCTTCAGAGAACTTTTGCACTGTCCTGTCCATTTCAGCGTGCCATTGCCTTCCATGCTCAGTGACCTCAATTTGCATTTTTTCGTATTTTACTCGAACTTCTTTCAGCTGTTTTTGCATTTTAGCAATATTATCCTCCAGATTTTTACAAACATTGTTTTCCAGAGATTTACTTTCTTTTACTAATTCAAGGCTTTTTTGTTGCATCTATCTTCCAGTTTTATAGCTGGGTGGGCTTTGTGATTAAGTGTTATGCAGTTCACACAAATGGGAATCTGACATTTTGTACAAAACAAATTACACTTTTCATTTTTATGACTAGCACAAGGTGGCAGAATTGGCATGGATCCTCTCAGCTTATAAGACACAATGTTATGTTCCTGTGAGGATTTGGCATTTATATGAGCACCTACACACACGCCACAGAGATTGACTTTACAAACGCTACATTGTAGGCTCACTGTGTTGGAGCAAAGCTCACATTCAATGAGATGTTGAGCATACACAATATCTTGATCTTCCACATCGTTTCCCTCTGCCATATCTGCAAAATGGATGTCACCTGCTCATGATGATCACAATCTGAAAATCAAATTACCACAAATAACAAGAGGCCCAGGGGCCACATCGCTCACCTGAGCAATTGGCTAGGAAAAAGCACATATCAGAGAACTGAAAGTTTACTGGCTAGGGGGTCAAAAAAACTAGAATCTACACTACCTGAGGATGATTCCCTATAAATATCACTAAACATGGCTTTGAAGTACTTGAAAAGAAGATTTTAAAAGATTTGCCTATTTATTCCATGAATGTATATCAATCGTATTGCTCTGTTTTAATTGTTAAGATCCTGGTATATAAATTTAAATTGGAACCGGTTCAGCTTAACATAGATCTGTTGTTTAAGAAATTAGATAAATATTATAAAGTGTAATTAGAATTAAGTTTCTCAGTTCTTTTTTTCAGATGTATTTTTCGTGTAGAAGTTGAAAGAAACTGTGAAATCTGTGCAAAGACTTAACAAAATCAAACTTATTAAACAAAAATAAAATGTGTTATTAATCATCGTATTGATCTTTGTGGTAAAACATCTGCTACAACAGGCGCGTAGCAACAGGGGGCCGATGGGGGGGCGGGGGGGTTTGAAGTTAACTTACCTGTAAAAGTTGACAAGCAAAAAAGAAGGTAGGGATTTAACAAGGTGTGTGTGTGTGGGGGGGGGGGGGGGCCATAGTGATACAATATATATATCACTTTAAGAAGTGGGGGTAAAACTTTCAATAAACATTTTCAATAGGGTGATGTGAAAAAAAGGGGGTCCAGCCCTCAAGTGCCTGTGGTGATACTCAATGTATTATGACCTATATAAAACTTTTATCGCCCCCCACCCTACCATGATTTGAACAAATTTGAATCTACACTACCTGGGGATGATTCCACAGGAGTTTCATCTTTCCTGTCTCGATGGTTCTTGAGAAGAAAATTTTTCCTATATATTCCTATGTAAAACTTTGATCGGCCATTTTGGCCCCATCCTACCCCCGGGGGTCATGATTTGAACAAATTTGAATCTACACTACCTGAGGATGATTCCACATGAGTATCATCTTTAATGGCCCAGTGGTTCTTGAGAAGAATATTTTTAATTATTTGTCATATATTATAATAAGTCCTATGTAAAACTTTGATCGGCCATTTTGGCCCCACCCTACCCCCGGGGGTCATGATTTGAACAAACTTGAATCTACACTACCTGAAGATGATTCCACAGGAGTTTCATCTTTCCTGGACCAGTGGTTCTTGAGAAGAATATTTTTCCAATATATTCCTATGTAAAACTTTGATCGGCCATTTTGGCCCCACCCTACCCCCGGGGGGACATGCTTTGAACAAAGCTTGAATCTACACTACCTGAGGATGATCCCACATGAGTATCATCTTTCCTGGCCCAGTGGTTCTTGAGAAGAAGATTTTTAAAGATTTTTACTATATATTCCTATGTAAAACTTTGATCGGCCATTTTGGCCCCACCCTACCCCCCGGGGTCATGATTTGAACAAACTTGAATCTACACTACCTGAGGATGATTTCACTTGAGTTTCATCATTCCTGGCCCAGTGGTTTTAGAAGAAGATTTTTTTAAAATGCCATAATTTTTTCTCTAATTCATGATTATCTCCCCTTAGAAAAGGGCGTGGCCCTTCATTTGAACAAACTTGAATCCCCCTTACTTTGTAGCAAGTTTGGTTGAAATTGGCCCAGTGGTTCTTGAGAAGAAGATGAAAATGTGAAAAGTTTACAACGACAACGATGACAACAACGACGACAACGACAACGACAGACAACGGACAAATTGTGATCAGAAAAGCTCACTTGAGCCTTTGGCTCAGGTGAGCTAAAAATAGGTAATTAGAGCTGAGATTATAGAGTTCATCTCATCCAATGTTGTCTTTAAGTAAGGTAAAGTCCCAAAGTTAACAAACATTAAAATTTTTACATACCAAAATGCAAATATTTTATGCAATTTTAATCTGAAAAACTTCAAATAATCGCTCATAATGAAGATGTAATCCAGCATCTGAACAAGTTGAGAGTGTTCATCCCTTGATGCATCATTTCTGCAAGTTTGGTTAATATAGACCTTATAGTTTCTTGATGGTAGACTTGCACCCATAACTTTTACCTGGTCCATTTTCTGGAAAATGTATGTGGGATCCAGCATCTGAAGCAAGTCCATTAGTTTGCATCTTAGATGTATCATCCATGCATGTTTGCTCAAAATAGGGCATATATCCAGCATCAGAAGCAAGCCTGGTAGTGTGCATCCTTAATTGTATTATCCATGCAAGTTTGGTCATCATAGAGCTCATAATTACTTGGAAATGGGACCTTCACATGTTAATGTGAATGTTAAAAAACATTAAACTTTTCACTTATCTGGAAAATGTAGGTCAGATCCAGCATCCGAAGCAAGTTTGGTAGTGGGCATTCACCCGTAGACGTATCATCCATGCAAGTTTGGTCGTCAGAGGGCTCATAGTAGTTATTTAAGGAATCACTGTATACTAGTAGTTAGTTTAGTATGCCAGGGCATCAACGATAGTGGGAAACATGGTATAATTTGCATAATAGTTGAAGCCCGTTATGCATAAATCATCCCATGTTTCTCACTATCGTTGATGTCCCTGGCATACTATACTAACTAAACAGTGATTCCTTATATTTCCACATCATTGTGAAATAGTATTTAGATTTAGATTTTTAAAATGTAGACATAGATTTAGATTACACGAGGACTACCATGCCAATTTCAATTTCAAATTGTAGATTTAGATTTTAAAAATCCAGACATATATTTACATTACACGAGGACTACTATGCCAATTTCAATAGCCCTCGCCACTGACGTCAAACACAAAGGCAGCTGCATGAGAATTACATGCATATTTGGCCTCCTTAGCGTCAGACACAGAGACAGATGCGCACGCGATGTGCATGCACAATAGGCCTCCTTAGCTTCATACCTATCGACCTGCCTAATTTATATTTCGATCGAATGATAAAAAATCAATAACTTTCAAAGAGATATCACAGAGAAAAAAAAAATAGAAATAGAAATATTTGTAAATAAGACCTACACCAAAAACTATACAAAAAATGTTAAAAAAACATTAACCTGGTCATTCCTTTGCTGAACTTGCAGCGTCTGAAATCTTATCTGGTACAATGAAACACATTAGAAGCACATTCCATGCATGTCTGATCAATTTAGGGCATAGAAAAACTTAAAAAGAGAACTGCTCCAAAAACCTTAAGGGTTCGTCAAAGGACACCATGTCCAAAAATTTCTTTTTACAATATCCCCAAAACTATGAGGGATATAAAGTTAAAACTTTTACAGTTTATAAATTGTTCATTGATTAACAGATAGAAAGTATCACTTGATAAAAAAAAATACTTGGAAAAATATTAATTGTGAAAAATTCTTTTTAAAAATGCATATATTTTCAGAAAATACACCAAATTAATTCCGCGCTCTTAGTGAAAACCATTATTGCAAAAACAAAATATGTTTCTCAATGAAGGGCAAGATGGACTTGGATAACCTCTGGAAAGTTTTTTTCCTGTTTATTTTGTCCAAATGTTAAGACTTCAAAGTGAAAGTACATTGCAAATGGCGTATTTTATAGGGGTCTTGATACATGTCATGCTTTCAATAACAGCCTTTCAGAGACCATTCACGTCCAACTCGTAGTTTAGGGGCTATTGTAAAAATAATTTTTTAGACAGGTTGATCTTTGACGAAACCTTAACCTGGGATGCAAACACCCACGCCAAGGGTATCACATAAGCTCCCCCACTTCGATAAGGTGAGCTAAAAATTTTAAACAAATCTATTGTTGTACTTCTTTTAAAAAAGAGATTGACAGGTCATATGATGGTTTTAAAAAACTATGTGAAATGTCCTCAACCCATCCCTTCAGCATGCTACATGTATTACATGAATTGAAGTTATGCTAGATAGGCTTTGAGTTATTTTTGGTATTTTATGCAGTTAATTCAGGGTGATCTGTTCCCTAATAGATCCAGAGCAATGGGGGACCCATGTCCTATACTCTGAGTTAACATTAGGTTATTTCATACAGTAAATGGCAAAGACTGTCACTCATGCATAATAAAGAAGTGGGGACATCCCTATTCTCTTTAGAGAAGTGGACAAGCTTTCGCCAACATCCTACATGTAGGCATAAAGCTAGCCTGTCCACTTCTCTCAAGAGAATAGGGACACACCCTTAAACAGTTAAACACTGTACCCAGATACGCTTCGTATCTGGTCTAATTCTCTGCCAAAATTATAAAGGACACTTTTATACCCTCTTTTCTATATAGAAAGCAGGAATCCTTTCAAATAATCTTACCTCAATTAATGCAAGGTTTTCGTGGCTTTCTCTTGTGCGTGTGCGTATGCCATTCGTTGTCAAGTATGAAAGCCCGTTGTGCTCATTATCATAGGTAAAAATAAATCCTCAAAACTTTCGTGAATAAATGCATTTTACCCTCATTGAGAACGAGGTGAAGAGAGGTAGCAGGTCCCTCAGTCCCACTCTTTATCTTTCCTA